GTAACTAGGGATGTTCGTTAGTCGAGGCACCACTGTATACTTAAACAGTTTAGGCAGGATGAAGCCAATCAGGAAGAGAATAGGCCAAGAGCCATTTTCCAAGAGGCATACAGTGGTGCCTCGTATAACGAGCGCCCCGTTTAACGAAGAAATCGCATAGCAATGGCTTTTTTGCCATCGCTTTTGCGATCGCACTACGATCTTGCCTATGGGGAAAAATCGCGTTGCGATTTTTCCCCATAGGCACCATTTTCCCCCAGCTGAGCGGCGGGGGCCTTCTAGCACAACCTCCGATATGCAGATGATACCACTCTGATGGCAGAAAGTGAGGAGGAATTAAAGAACCTTGTAATGAGAGTGAAAGAGGAGAGTGCAAAAAACGGTCTGAAACTCAACATCAAAAAAACTAAGATCATGGCCACTGGTCCCATCACCTCCTGGGAAATAGAAGGGGAAGATATGGAGTCAGTGTCAAATTTTATCTTCCTGGGCTCCATGATCACTGCAGATGGAGACAGCAGCCCTGAAATTAAAAGGCGCCTTCTTCTTGGGAGGAAAGCGATGACAAATCTGGACAGCATCTTGAAAAGCAGAGACATCACCTTGCCAACAAAAGTCCGAATAGTCAAAGCTATGGTTTTTCCTGTCGTGATGTATGGAAGTGAGAGCTGGACCATAAAGAAAGCAGACCGCCGAAGAATTGATGCCTTTGAATTGTGGTGCTGGAGGAGGCTCTTGAGAATCCCCTGGACTGCAAGGAGAACAAACCTATCAGTTCTAAAGGAAATCAACCCTGAGTGCTCACTGGAAGGACAGATCCTGAAGCTGAGGCTCCAGTACTTTGGCCATCTAATGAGAAGAAAAGACTCCCTGGAAAAGACCCTGATGTTGGGAAAGTGTGACGGCAAGAGGAGAAGGGGACGACCGAGGATGAGATGGCTGGACAGTGTCTGCGAAGCAACCAACATGAACCTGACACAACTCCGGGAGGCAGTAGAAGACAGGAGGGCCTGGCGTGCTCTGGGCCATGGGGTCATGAAGAGTCGGACACGACTAAACGACTAAACACACAACTTGTACAGTGGTGCCTCGACTTACGAACGTCTTGATTTACAACCAGTTCCATCCGCAAAATTTTTCTTTGACTTGCGGCCGGAGCTTTGACTTACAAACAAAAAAAAGGCAGGGGGAAAAGGCTGGGAATTCAAATTGCTAACCGTTGGTAGGCGAAGAGGCTGCTCCTTTGTAGCTCTTTCACTCCATATGTTAGAGTGAGTGCGATTGGAGGAGGCCTTTGACTGCCTCGTAAGGTAAGGTGCTGCTTTCTGCTTTTTAAAAACTGTTTGGGTGGGTTTTGCCACGTGGTTTTGGGCTGGGGCGTTATTTTTTTGTGCTGAGATGGGTCTTGGGGGGTTGTTTGTTTTTTGGTGTTTTTCCCACATTTCCGATGGGTCTTGGGGGATTTGCTTGCTTTTTGGAGTTTTTCGCTCCATTTCCGATGGTTTGCTTTTCGCTTTGCTTTGCTTTTTGCCCCATTTCTTATGGGTCTTGCACGCTGGGCTTGCTTTTCTTTTCCCTCCCCCTTCAGCCAGAATGGATTAATCGTTTTTCTGATCGGAAGTGTTTATTATTCCTCTTTATATTTCTGTCCATACTTTCCACAAAGTCTTTCTTTTTCCTAATGTACCATCTTCTTACATTTCTTTTGCCAGAATTTGTGTTCCATTTTATTTTCCTCATTTGGGAAGGTTTTGTATTTGTGGAAGGACCCCTCCTTTCCCTTCAGAGCCTCTCCAACTCTGCTCGTTAACCACGCATGAGCTTTCTGAAGGGGATCAGTCTTCTGGCCTCTTCCCCTCAAAGGAGACTGACTGTTCAAGCTCATGCTGCTTCCAACTATTCCCAACAAAATCTTGGAGATGTTGAACCTCAATAAGTCTCAGGCCATCCTAGTCTCCATGGGTGTTGGAGTGCTTCCTGTGCATGTTTCAACAGATACTGTAATACCCTTTCTTAAGTTCTTCCCGGTCCCTTCCCCGCAGGGTTCTCAATGTTGAGCTAAACTACAAGTCATCCCTGCCTCTGGACCAAAGCTTCACTCCCCAGCTGTGGCAGTGGATTACCTAAAGATATTTTACATGGATGTTCCAATGGTAGCTTTGACTTCCAGGGCAAGGGGTCATAAAAATGATGCAGTACCTGGTTGAAGTCTGTGGAATACAAGCATGACACAGAGATATGTGCCCTGACCAATTGCGGCTTAGTAGCCAGCTTACTGACGGTCAATGCTTCCATCTTGTGGACTAAGACCCTCGTCCTCCTGGAGGTGCTGGCAGATGTTTACTAATTTCTGAAGGGTCTTAACTATGGGTGATCATGGAACAAAGGAAGTCTAATTGCCTTAGAGAAAGAACAAAGGAGTCGACAACAGATATCCGAGCCAGCGGACCCTACAGGCAACACCCTGAGAGCTCTTTTATTTACTTAGCATGATTTCATAGTACAGTATATTGTTAGAATTCAGATAGGATACTAGTTACCTAATCGCAACTAGGATTGGCTTAAATAACTCTTTGATCTTATGCTATAACTCTAAGCGAAAGGGCAGAATAAGGGGTTACCCCGCCTGCTGGCAGTTGCCACTTCCTGCCAGGAAGGATCAATGGAACATCTGTGCACATCAGTGGAACAGAATGCAGCTACAACCTTTAAGCAGAAGTTTCCCACACTTAACAAACTGATATGGGCAGCTGAATTTCTATCCAGCTCATCCATAGACATAGTCCAGTTTTCATTTAGAGCCACAGCCTGTGGCGTGGGTATCAGGAAGTGGGTCAACAATCCAGATAGAAGTTAACTACCCCTCTTTTACTGAGGGAGGGATAAGTTTGATGTTTCTAATCATAGAGTAAAGATAACAAGAAGGTGTTATCTTCATCCACATTCTGTTCCTATTCTTGTTGGGAACAATGCTGCTGTAGGAGGTGCTGGTCTAGTTGTTGTCCCAGCAAGCAGGGTTCCAACCATTTCAGCAAATGGGATAAGCAGCTGAACAAAAAGCTGTCTGCTTGTTGCTAGGTATTGTAGAATAAGAGGGTGGTTGCACCTCTTCTGGCTTGCATAAGAAAATGTTGCTTCAGACAAATAGATACAAGGGATGGGATGCTGGGTAATATCCTAGAGCTCTGACTGAACTCCCACAACAGGTTGTTCGTTTGCTCTGCGGTGCCACAAGAATCTTACCAGGTTTGCCAGGATCTTGGACACTAGCTGGTATATTTTGAAAAAAGAGGTGGCAGAGCAAGTACCTCATGTTGGAAAGTCTTCTCTGTACTGTGCCAATTGTATCTCCAAGTTGTAGAACATGTATATGAATGTTACGACAACCAAGAGTGCACTTTTGAGGGAGGGAATCGCATTATCAAATCAGATACACCTGAATAATGATTTAAACCAAATCAACCCTGAGTAGAATTGTGTGTTATTTGTTACTACAGAAATGCAATTTAAGATTTCCCCTGCCTGCCTCGTTCTTTCCATTGGACTCTCCTGTTGGAGGAAAGGAGGAAGCAATCTTCATCAGTTTTACAGGGTGCTTCCTTTCCCACTGAAAAGTCACTCTGAAGGATCCTGGGTGTCTTTAGGAATAACAGTGGAGGTGGAACTAGGAAATGAAAGCAGAACCTGTGAAAGTCACCTCTGCTCCCTCCAGTATTTTGATTTGTTTGCCTTGAATCCATCATGATACTGCAGAGTAAAAAGCTCCACCAGTGTACAGTACTTGCACAGGAGCTCTGGGAGGATAGAGACTATGGAGGTTCTGGTGGCAGCTAGAGCAGTGTTCAGCTGTGTTCAAATGAGCTTCAGAGCTTTCAGCTCTTTCCCACCCCGGTCAGTCTTCCCAGCTCTTGAGCAGCAGAGCTACAATTTATGAAATAGAGAAAAAAGTGTGAAAGGACATATTGGATATCTCTTCATGTGAGTTCAACATAACAATAAGTTACACTTCACAACTGGGGGTTGTGGGGTTGCAAAGTCCCAACACAATGCCTTTGCATTCTCTGGATTTTTTCCCACCAGTTTCCTTTTTTCGGTATTTCTGTGAAGATCAGGTATGAGCAATGACCCGGGGCATGTAGTAAACAACTTCTCCAACCAGATAACTGAAGCTGTTTTTTACACATTAAATCCCGGTTTGATTACTGATAGTTGTTACATGACACCTGCTGAGATCAGCTCTCAGTGGTTGTCCTTTATCTGCAAGCTTGTGGGAAGAATAATTGAGAGCAGGCTGCTATGGTACTGAAAGTATTCTTGAAGGTATACAGGAGCTAATGGGATTAAGGCTTTGTACATTAAAGCCAATTCCTTGAATTGTTCCCAAAAGACTGTGGAAAGACAGTGTGAAAGTGGTCAAATGGTGTTTGTAGTTAGCTTTACCATGCTGAAATGTTTATCTCAGACAAAATGTAGGAGCCTATTAGAGAGTTAGACATCTCTTTTTTATTCATTCATTTCTATGCTTAGTTACTTATTTGACTTGCTATGCATGTGACATGGATAAACTGTGTATCCCAGGTAGTTCTAAGCCAATATGATTAATGTTTCATTTACAAATATTTGAAGATAAAAGTGGTAATTTTCAACGATATCATTGCACAGAAGAGAAGCTCACATTCTATGGCCATCTGCAGTCATTCAGTAGCTCATCCATAACATGGCTGCTGCCTTAGACAAATTCTCTATTCCAGGGCAATGCTAGGTTCCAGGGTAGAAGCAGTCCCTCAGTGATTGTTAAATTACTGGTGTACTTGAGCTATCTTGGGGATTCTTCTGGGTTAAAAGACCACTTAGAAAACATACTGAAATAGTATCGAGACTATTGTGTAAGGCGTAAGATACTAGTTCCCTAAATATCAATTATTGTCTCACCATTTAAAATTAATTATTATTTTGGTTTCACTTCTGCATTTTAGTGTTTCTTATTTTCTTTATTGTAGACAGCTGCAAGAACAGCAGCGACAAAAGGAGTTGGAAAGGGAGAGGATGGAGCGTGACCGAATGGAACGTGAAAGACTGGAGAGGGAAAGGCTCGAACGAGAGAGGATGGAGCGAGAGAGACTAGAAAAGGAAAGACTGGAACGAGAGCGAGTAGAACAAGAGCAACTGGAGAGGGAGCGGCAAGAGAGGGAGCGGCAGGAACAAGATCGGCAAGAGCGCCTAGAGAGAGAAAGACAAGAACGAGAAAGACAAGAGCGAGAGAGATTAGACTGGGAAAAGCAGGAAAGAGAAAGGCAAGAACAACTAGAACGAGAACAGCTGGAATGGGAAAGGGAAAGAAAACTATCAAATGCTGGTAAGAATTTTGATATACTCATTTATAGTAAGTTTGATGTATAATTAAAGAGTAACCAAGAGTAATTGAAGATTACAGTTATTCATATTCTCTGTGTTTATGAATTAACTATTTCCCACAAATGTGTGGCAGTATTGTTTTCAGCTGAAAAGAAACTGTAATTCAGAAGTATAAAAATGTATGTTGAGATGCTATCTTCCAAGACAGAAGTGGCTGGAATTTTTTTTGTTCTTCCAAAAAAGTTGTTAATCTTCGTTACTGTCCCTGTGCATTACACATATGGGTAAGTCCTATACATGCACAGACATCTTAGAATCGTCTAGATGTAAAGCAAAAGCATTTTGGCAGAAGCTCTTTCCTCCTGCCAGGCAGGATAAATATGTGATACTGCTACATAGAATCATAGAAGTTGGCAGGGGTCTACCAGGTCATCAAGTCCAAGGTAAAGGTTCCCCTTGACATTTAGTCCTGTTGTGTCCGATTCTAGGGCGCGGTGCTCATCCCCGTTTCCAAGCCGTAGAGCCAGTGTTTGTCCGAAGACAGTTTCCGTGGTCACGTGACCAGCGCGATTAGACACGGAACACCGTTACCTTCCCACCAAGGTGGTCCCTATTTATCTACTCGCATTTGCATGCTTTTGAACCGCTAGGTTGGCGGGAGCTGGGACAAGTGACGGGAGCTCACTCCGTCACGTGAATTCAATCTTACAACTGCTAGTCTTCTGACCTTGCAGCACAGAGGCTTCTGCGGTTTAACCCACAGCGCCACCACATCCCCATCAAGTCCAACCCCCTGCTCAATGCAGGAATACAGTCAAAACATATCTGCCAGGTGATTATCCAAGTTTTTCTTGAATGCCTCCAGTGTTGGAGCACTCACCAACTCCCAAGGTAACTGGTTCCACTGTCATACTGTTCTAACAGTTAGGAAGTTTTTCCTGATATTCAACTGAAATCTGGCTTCCTTTAACTTCAGCCCATTGCTGTGTGTCCTGCACTCTGGGATGATCGAGAACAGAACTTGCCCTTCCTCTGTATGACAGCCTTTCATATATTTGAAAAGTGCTATCATATCATCCCTCAGTGTTCTTTTCTCAAGGCTAAACATGCCCAATTCATTAAGCCTTTCCTCATAAGGCTTGTTTTCCAGCCCCCTGATTATCCTTGTCACCCTCCTCTGAACTTGTTCCAAATTGTTAGCATTCTTCTTGAAGTGTGGTGTCCAGAACTGGACATGATACTCAAGGTGAGGCCAAACCCGCACTGAATAGAGAGGGACTAGCACCTCGCGGGATTTGGAAACTATACTTCTATTAATGCAGCCTAAAATAGCAATAGCCTTTTTAATAGCCACATCACACTGTTGACTCATATTTAGTTTGTGATCTATGGCAATTCCAAGATCCTTCTCACTCTTAGTTTTGCTGAGCCAGGTATCTCCTATCTTGTAACTGTGCAGTTGGTTTCTTTTTCTGAGGTGTAATACTTTGTACCTATTTCATTCTGTTGCTTTTGGCCCAGTGCTCCATCCTATCAAGGTCATTTTGAATTTTGTTTCTGTCTTCTAGCTATTCTGCCCAATTTGATATCATCTGCAAATTTGACAAGCATTCCCTGCACTCTCTCATCCATGTCATTAATACAAATATTGAAGAGCACCAGGCCCAGGACTGAGACTTGGAGTACCCCACTGGTTACCTCCTTCCAGTTAGAGAAGGACCCATTAATCATCACCCTCTGTAGCCAATCATGGGGCACTTTGTCAAATGCTTTGCTGAAGTCAAGATATATTACATCTACAGCATTCCCTCTGTCAGGGAGATTACCTGATCAAAAAACGAGATCAAATTAGTTTGGCGGGATTTGTTTTTCACAAATCCGTGTTGGCTTCTGGTTATTACTGCATTGTTTTCTCGGTGCTTGCACAATAATCGTGTCATGATCTGTCCCAGAATTTTGCCTGGGATTGATGTCAGGCTGACTGGCCTGTAGTTCCCAGGTTCCTCTGTTTTGCCCTTTTTGAAGACATGAACAACATTGGCCCTCCTCCAATCCTCTGGCACCTCACCCGTTTCCCATGATTTCAAGGAAATAATGGATATCAGTTCTGAGAGTTCTTCAGCCAGTTCCTTCAGTGCTCCTGGATGCAATTCATTCAGCCCTGGAAATTTGAACTTGTTCAAGGTGGTAAGGTATTCCTTGACTATTTTTTTAATCTATCTTCAACTGCAGTTCTGTCCTTCCGCCCCTCCCCCCACACACACACTTGCACTTCCAATTTGTTTGGAAATTCATAGTCTGTCTTATGGGAAAAGACTGAACTAAAACAGGAATAGAACACCTCTGCCTTTTCTTTGTTATCATTTTTCCATCTCCATTGCAGAGCTGTGCCACTATGTCTTTTCTTTGTCTTTTGCTATTCACATACCTGAAGAATGCTTTTTATTGCTTTTAGTGTCTCTAGCTAACCTCAGCTCATTCTCAGCTTCTGCCTTCCTAATGCCATCCCTGCATTTCCTTGCTACTCAGCCTTGGTGGCCTGGCCTTCTTTTCATTTCCCGTACATTTCTTTTTTGGTTTTTAGGTCCTCCCTGAGCTTTTTGAGAAGTGACACTGGCCTTTTTTGCTGTCTCCTCCCTTTTTTTCTTGTTGGAATTGTTTGTAGTTGTGCCGTTAGAATTTTTTAGAAGCTCCCACCCTTCTTGGACTCCTTCTTAGGATCTCCTGCCATGGGACCTTACTTATCCTTCTGAGATTATTAAAATTGGCTTTTTAAAAATCCAGCAGACCTGTGTCTCTGCTTTCTCTGCTTTCATTTCCTTTGAAATCAATAATTCTAGAAGGACATGGTCACTCTCACCTAGAGTTCGCCTTACTGCCACTTCCTGCACCAAGTCATCTTTGTTGGTTAGAATCAAGTCAAGGATAGCAAATCCTCTAGTTTCTTTCTCCACTTTTTGTATAATTATCAGCCACACAAGCCAGGAATTTCTTGGAAGGGCCATATTTGGCAGAATTTGCTTCCCAACATATATCTAGATAATTGAAATCTACTACGTCGTGTCTCTTTGAAAACCCTGCAATTTGTTTTTCAAAATTTCATCTGCTTCTTCTCTTTGATTGGGCGGGTGGTAGTAGATTCCCACTACCAAGTTCTTTTTGTTTTTTATCCAGATGCTCTTGCTGGGGCAGCCACTCTCCTTCTCCTGTATTTCTGTGCAGGAATGAGTATTTTTGACATATACTGCAACTCCACCTCCCTTTTTATTCTCTCTATTCTTATTGATCAGTTTATGTCCCTCAGTTGCTGTATTCCAGTCCTGGGAGACATCCCACCAAGTTTCAGTTATTCCTATCAAGTCATACTTACCCTCCTGAATTAAAATTTCACCCTCAGTTCTTTTCTGTTTGCTGCATGAGCAGCAGCCTTGGAACAGTTCTTCGCTCTACCAACTTTATTTTGCTATTAACTTTTTCTCTGATTATCTTCACCTGCTACACTACTTCACTTTTGGACTTCTTCTTGGCTTCATTGCACTCTTTTGGCCCTGAATTCTGTCCTTGACTTTGGTTTCATATTATTATACCCGTGCACTATGGCCTCAAGAGATTTTTTTCAAAAGGTGCACCCAAGTGGGGCAGTAAAGTTGTGCGTACTGGCTTCAAGTGTTTGTTTTGCTTCAGAGAAGACCACACCATGGAGGAAAGCTGCTACTGCCAAAATCTCTCAAAATCAGCACTTCAAAGCCAGCAATTGTGTCTACGGGACTCTTCTTGGGAAAAGGCCCTACAGACATTGGAGCAGGCTGCTCAACATTGAACCCTACAGTTTTCATCTGTACACTCCAGCCAGTCACTTCTTGGCTTATATCAGGCAAAATAAGAGCCTTTCCATTTTCACTGAAAGCCTCTCCAAATGAGTCATAGCTGCCACGACCCTGGTTTATGACCTGGTACCTTTGCTCTGTATTTGATGGGTCTCCACACCTATTCAACCAGATGCATGGAGTTCCACTAGATGCTTTCTACCAGGCAGCCACCTAGTGTCCACTGATGGCTTTCAACTGGTGCTATTGCATGGATCTCAGGGTGTGCAAGGAGGCCATCTTCAAGATTACAGTTTTATCTTCAATGCTTCGATGACACCCACCACCTGGTAAGTCAGCTAGGTAATTACCCTTATGTGTGATGCACAGTGACCACGGCAAAGAAGAACAGGTTGCTTACCTGTAACTCTGGTTCTTCGAGTGTTCATCTGTGCTTTCACACATCCTGCTTTCTTCCCTGATGAAGAGTCGACTTCCAGAACTGAGATGAGGCTGTATTTATCATATCAGGCAGGAGAGCAGGACTCCTGCCAAAAAGCTTTCACTTCCATTCAAGATCCTGTGATGTCTGTGTAGGCACAGGACTAACCCCATGTGAATGCATAGATGACTGTTCAATGAGTTCTTATAAGGTGTTCACAAAAAATCCTGCCCCATGGAAACAGGGATAGCTATTGACAAGTATCTTGTTTCCTGGTTTATTGTAGTGTTCTGGCTTGCATATATGTCCTGGAGATGGATTATGTTTTGTTTTGTTTTTTACCATTGGCAGTTAAGTTTGTATTCATACTTAATATGTGCCTTACATGAGAAAGAAAGTATATTGTGCTGGAATCCTAGTGTGACTGAGACATGTCAAGGAGTGAGGAATTGTGCCAATCCAAAACTGTGTTCAACAGGAACTAAATTCAGATTACTTTCTAAATATATATGTTCATGATTGGATAGGATGGACAGAGATTCTAGGTATGCTGTGGAATACATACCTACTGTGGGAACAATTGGCTGGAAGGAGGGTAGATCTACTTACTGCACATACGTTAACTACTGAAGTCCATTTTAACATTTTGTATTTTAGGCCTTTAATTTCCCACAATCGTTTATGACTGGTTAAAAATAATACTTACTAACGTAAGTGGTGATATTCTGGGTAATGGGCATTCTGACATCTTAAACTACAGAGGCATCTCATTCACAGAGAAATAAAAAATGACACTGGAGTTATAAATTGAATTATGCAGCCTTCAGGCTGATGTATATTTATTAACCAGTCCCTTAAGATAGTAATGCTATATGTTTTTCTAAGTTCGAAAATATCTGACAGTTTGTTCCATGTCTATAGACTTGTTTTCACCTGTCCAACATCCTTGTCCCTTGTACTAATTCCAATACCAAAGCTTAAATTCTCTTCTTGTTGGGGCCTCTGTTTCTGTAGAGTGCTTTATTTCCCAAACTCAGCTTTCTGTTTTTGCCCTCCTTTATGCTCATACATCCCTTTTTTCTTAGCCTTGGTCTGTTCTATCTTTCACTAAAGCTAGCTTGAGTGTGTTCCTTTCTTTTTGAAAGGTTGGAGTAAAAGATTTGGCATTTGAAACAAAATTAGTGTACAGTATTTGCAGTACATTGCTTCTGGTAGAAGATTCTTCATCATTTTAGCTGTAGCTATATAAGCCAGGGGCTCTGGTAGTTTTACCACCTAACTTTGTAACTAAGAAAATCTTTAAAAGTTACATTAGCCCATTGTGTGTATAACTGGTCTTTGATGTGAAAGTCTAATAATGCTTCTAGAAAGACCTTGCACAAAATTTTGTATCAAATTGTATGAAAAATATTTTAAATTATAAAGCCCCATGGATCCAAGATTTTCCTGAATTCTTGGTTCATTATTTGAGTACGGCTCTGAAAGAAGAATTGTGACGTGAAAAACTTGAACTATGTTAATTTCTTTCCAAAGAGCAGGCATTTGCATCTAAAATGTGGTTGTTGTAACAGGTAAAGGGAAAGAGTTCATCCAATAGTTCTTAATAGTATTAGATCCTTGGAGTATGTGATTGATTATGTGATCAGAAAGTTATATTCTCTTTATCTTTTCTGTATGATTAAATAGTTCAGGAACATTCTTCCCTTTGAATGAAACCTAGAATTTAGGAACAATTACAAATATACAGTCGTGGCCAAAAATATTGGCATCCTTACAATTCTGTCAGAAAATGCAACCCTTCTCTCAGAAAATTGTTGCAGTTGCAAATGTTTTGTACTCACATGTTCATTTCTTTGGTTTGTGTTGGAACAGCACAAAAAATAGAGAAGAAAAGTCAAATCTGATACAGTTCCACACAGAAAGCCAAAAATGCACTGGCCAAAATTATTTCCACCCTTAAATTAATATTTGGTAGCACCCCCTTTGGAACAAATAACTGAAATCAATTGCTTCTTGTAACCATGAATGAGATTCTTACACTTCTCTATTGGAATTTTGGACCACTCTTCTTTTGCAAACTGTTCTAGGGCCTTCAGATTTGAAGGGTGTCTTCTCCCAACTGCTGTTTTGAGATCTCTCCACAGGTGTTCTATGGGATTCAGATCTGGACTCATTGCTGGCCATTCAGAACTTTCCAGCGCTTTGTTTGTAACCATTTCTGAGTGCTTTTTGAAGTGTGTTTGTTTCAGGTCATTGTCCTGCTGGAAGATGCATGCCCTCTGGTGGAGACACAGCTTTCTGACACTGACCAGTATTCTTTAGTAATCATCAGATTTCATGATACCGTTCACACAGTCAAGGCATCCAGTGCCAGAAGCAGCAAAACAACCCCAAAACATCTTTGAACCTCCAACATGTTTGACTGTAGGGACTGTATTCTTTTCTTCGGATGTCTCATTTCTTTTTCTGTAAACAGTGTCATGATGTCCTTGACCAAAAAGCTCTACTTTTGTCTCATTTGTCCACAGTACATTCTCCCAGAAGGATTGTAGTTTTGTCACATAGGTTTTGGCATACTCCAGTTTTGCTTTTTTATGTCTTTGTGTCAACAGTGGTGTCCTCATGGGTCTCCTTCCATAGTGTCCATTTTCATTCACATGGCGACGGATAGTATGAACTGACACTGTTGTACCCTGTGTCTGCAGATCAGCTTGAATTTGTTTGGAAGTTTATCTGGGTTCTGTATCCATTGTTCAAACAACCCTTTGTTGTAATCTTTCAGTACTTCTGCTCTTCTGTCCACATTCAGAGAGGTTAGCTACAGTGCCATGGACTATAAACCTCTTGATGATATTGCGCACAGTGGACAAAGGAACATTAAGATCTCTGGAGATGGACGTGTAGCCTTGAGATTGTCGATGTTTTTCCACAATTTTTTCTCTCAAATCGACAGACAACTCTTTACACTTCATTCTTTTCTCCATGCTCAGTGTCACACACAACACAAAGGTAGAGTTAACTTTTCTCCATCTTAAGTGGTTGCAAGTGTGATTACTATATTGCCCACACTTCTTACTTGTGACAGGTGTGTCTAAATACAAATTAAAGGAGCATCACATGCTTGAAAAGGAATTATTTCTTACAGTTTAGACAGGGTGCCAATAATTTTGGCCAGTTTATTTTTGGGTTTCTGTATGGGGTTGTATCAGATTTGACTTTTCTTCTCTGTTTTTTGTGTTCCAACGCAAACCAAAGAAATGAACATGAGAGTACCAAAACATTTGCAACTGCAACAATTTTCTGAGAGAAGGGTTGCCTTTTCTGACAGAATTGCAAGGGTGGCAGTATTTTTGGCCATGACTGTATAGCAACACACAAATATATTTAGTTTATGGAGCCTTGTAATAAGTCTATAGGTTAACCTAGAAAGTTTTTTCTGGTGCTTGTCCGCACACATTAATCATGTCACATTAATCATGCCAATGACCTAAAAGAGCAAACTGTCTCCCAGTATGCAAAATTTGGGTCCTGCCTCGTAGCCCAGAGGCAGTTCTCAAGTGTCATATGCAAGTAAGCAAATACCTACTTACAGCATAAATTTGCAGCTGTTCTGCTACAGTATTCTGTTCCTAGTTTCTTATTATTATGGTATTAAGTAAAAAATCAACAATCAGTAAATCAGACACTCATGCAAGAGCCTAGTCATTTGTGAATTTTTTTAAACTTCCTTTTTATATGGAATTTTTATTTGGGATGCAGTGTTGATTTTATAGAGTGGAATAGTGAGATGCTATGCTTACCTACTGAAGAATAATCCTCTTGAACTCAGTGGATCTTAGTTCTGAATAAAGATGTAGAAGTTTGCACTATTCATATATGATACTGTTTTTCAGTAGGTTTTTTTAAAAAAAAACAACTGTTATCATTAGATTTGATTGCAGTTGATTAATTTTGCTGATTATCTTTTGTGAGCTTGTTCTGCAGTGAATTTAGTGTTTTGTTGTGTTGTGGTTTTTTTTTTACATTTCCAGATTGTGCTTATATATTAAAATATCAGCATAAATACATACACAGTACTATATGGCAAAACCAGAAGCTTCTGTTGATAGTATGTAAATTCTCCTAACAATAATTTTCTTGTGCCTAATCCCCTGAAACTAACTATAGTCTACATTTATAAATTCTGTTCGAATGCTGGTTTTGTTGCTTCATTAGCTCCCTTTCTCTCTCTCTCTCTCTCTCCTCTCTCTCTCTCTCTCTCTCTCTCCTCTTATCCTGCCTCTACTACTTCTTTCCTTCCTTCTTCTGTCCAGCTTCATCTTACGACAACTCCCTGTATAGTACTTCACTTCCTGAATACTCCAGTTGCCAGCCTCCTTCAGCACCACCTCCTTCATATGCTAAAGCAATGTCAGACTCTACTCCAGATTATGCGGTGGTGACTTCTGCACAACCAGTTGCCTCTCCCCCTACACCACCTCTAAGGCACTCTGCATCACGTTTTGCTACATCGTTGGGCTCTGCCTTTCACCCTGTTCTTCCCCATTATGCCACAGTTCCTCGTCCAATAAACAAAAATTCTCAACCACCTTCACCTGTGAACCCCCCTACCTCTTTGCCCCCAAGTACAAAATCCACTACCTGGTCTGCTTCTAGTTTTGCTCCTCTTCCCCCTTCTCCTCCTGTGATGATTAGCAGTCCCCCAGGCAAAGCCACTGGTCCAAAGCCTGTTCTTCCAATTCCTGTTACTGCTCAGTTATCGCAAATGTCACCATCCCCTACTGCACCCAACGGTCTTCTAGAACTGGCAAATTACCCAGTTCCTTCACCACCTACCTCAGGTCCAACACCACCACCGCCAAATTCCTTTCAGCCTCTTTCAGTCTCCGGACCTCAAGCTTCTTCTCCAAGCTCCCCTGTTGCCTCAGCTCCCTCATCCAAGCCTAGTGTTCTCCCTTCTCCCTCTGCAGCTCCCCCTGCCTCTGTTGAGAGCTCTCTAAACTCTGTGCTGGGAGACTCTTCTGCTTCTGAGCCAGTCTTGCAGACGGCCTCTCAGCCGGTTGAACCTCCGTCCCAGCAGGGTAAGGTTTCTGTTATTGCTACTAATTAACTAATCAGGAATGAATTCAAAACTAATTTGCATCCAGATTTTGATTTGTTGTGAAAAATTAACCTGTGGAATGCCGCAGTTATCTTTAGGTCCCAACAAAGGTTTTTCAGGAAGTTATACAGTGGTGCCTTGCGATCGTGTTGGTGACTCGCAAGATGGCTTTTTCTATGGCCGTGCTTTGCAAGCGATTTTTTTCGCAAGACCGATGCCTCACAAGACGAAAATAATTCATTCATCTTGTGAGGTTTTCCATAAGAATGCATTGCAATGCATTCCTATGGGAAACTGCTTTTTGCAAGACGAAAATTTCGCAAGACGGCGCTACTCACGGAATGAATTACTTTCGTCTTGCGAGGCACCACTGTATTAGATATGTTTTTGACTCAAATGTAACCATGTATGATGCTTTTTTTCATTATTTTATTTACCTGAAGGTCAGCTTATCTAATTTCTGGAGGAGTTTAGGTGGGGCTCACTGGAAATAAGCATAGTAGTGAGTTGTTAGTTAAATTAAAATACCTGTTTGTGGATTGGGTTTTTCTCAGTTCAGCGTTAATAAAACTAATCAAGGACATATGACTGACCTTTTTGTGTACAGTTCTATATTTCAGTACTAGAACTTACTTGGATTCAGTATGCAAACAGGTTTAAGTTGCCAATGTGTCATTTGTTCAATGTGCTTAGCTGAAACGTCTGAGGAATCCAAAGATCATGTGCCTACTGTGTTGTAAAATCAGACTAACAACATGGTGATTGATAGAGTGTTCTTCTAAATTAGAGCGAAATTATTATGGAGCCTGTTAGTCAGATTCACAGCTGAGGAATAGACAACCCCCATATTAATTTTAAATGTTCCTTCACTAAAGAGCCAGAGGAAAATAAGCATATATTCACATGCAAAAATTGTTATCTGTATTAATGAGCAACTCTTCTTTAGTGGTGTATAGGCGTGCGGGGCATGCATAAATATTTACTTCTAGCTGTTGTGATGAGATGGACAATGTATCAGCTTTTTAAAACTTCTAACCAACTAATGTATGCTTTATTAAAAAAGGCACAAATGTTCTGTTCCTCATACCCCTGCCCATAATCTTGCTAAAGATCTGACCAGATAGGCGGGGTAAAAATACAATCAATCAGTCAGTCAGTCAGTCAGTCAGTCAATCAATTAATCAATCAATCAATCAATAGAACAGATACAACTGAAATGTCCTGATTTTATTTTTTAAAACATATGCTTTTCTAAGGCTTACTGTCAGGACACAGGCTAGCCTTCAGGTTTTAATTTTAATATTATTGTATACTTATTTCTTTAAGGAGTAGTCTCTTTAGTGGGCACAGTATAGGCTAGCCTAGTATCATACCTTTCCAAGAGTCAGAGTGACTTTTTTCAGGATTTTCCTCTAACAAAGTTCCAAGGTATTTCTTTGAGGTGAATTGTTGATTCATTAGTTTTCACAGAGGTACATTAAAACTGGGGATATATTTATGGACCAATATTGAAACAGATCTATGGGATATGTGTACTTTTTTTCTTTAAAAAAATGTAGAATTGGTTTCCTGAGTGTTCACAGCTTGTCACAATTTTTGTATTTGGTTTTGTGTGTGTGCGTATGTGTGTTTTTAATTAGGTGTTGTACAAGGATCACCTGCACCCCCACCCCCACCCCCTCTTCCACCTGGTCCTGTCCAGTCTCCACCAGCAGTCCCACCTCCCACTGGGCCACCTCCACCACCCCCTCTTCCACCTTCAGGGCCGCCACCGCCACCACCACCACCACCTCCCCTTCCTAACCAGGTTCCTCCTCCTCCTCCTGCCCCTCCTCTTCCCACCACTGGTTTTTCCAAAGGATTGATGTACGAAGACTACCGTCCTATGACAGGACTCGCAGCTGCCCTTGCTGGAGCCAAACTCAGAAAAGTATCACGGGTAAATACAATTCTGTTAGTTAAAACTTTGTTTCCTTTTAAATTAAAGCCTCCATCTGCTTAATTTCTATAATTAGTAGCTACAGTAGTGGCCAAGGTGAGGATTTTGTATAATAGCAGTAGAGCAGAAATCTGCTAGCCTGTTTATGTGGGTACTTGGGTGGAATGCACTCCAGAGTGGCAGGAACCGTGCTGAGCTGTTACCTAAATTAGTGTAGCTGACTGACAGCTGCCTTCCCCAAGCTAGTAACTAGCCATCTTGATTCATGGGCAGGCAGATATGTGGCTGATGGAAAAGAAAATAGCTTCTGCAGGGAGTTTGTGGACATCTTCTTATGTGAGCTCCAAAAATATAAAACTCCTTGCACAATCAATGCTTGCAGTGAGTACAATACCAAGGATACTGAGCCAAGAATTATTTCTAAAATAGCTAAATGTAATTTAATCAGAATTTAGTATAATATACTGTACAATATTTAGATGCAACCCAGTATCTGTGGTTAAGTTTTTCTACTATGAAATTAAAGCTCATGTTTCAAATATTTTGAATTGTTTCTAGGCCTTTCAGATTCATTATTTGTATGTTGTTCAGCATGTAATTTCCACATGTCATTACTTCTGTACATTACATATTACAGAATGAAGAATCTCCTAATCTGAGTGGAGGAACAAGTTCTGCTTCTCCGAAAACAGATACTGGTCGTGGAAATGGGCCACTTCCCCTTGGAGGAAGTGGATTAATGGAAGAAATGAGTGCACTGTTGGCAAGAAGGTAAGTAGTTTTATTTTTGGTTGTTGTGGGTTTTTCGGGCTTCTTGGCCGTGTTCTGAAGGTGGTTTTTCCTAACGTTTCGCCAGTCTCTGTGGCCAGCATCTTCAGAGGACAGCAAACTGTTTTATTTTTACTTAGCTTTTGTGGTAGATTTAGGATTACTTTTAAATATCTTACATAGTTCACTCTATGGCTGATATTTAGTTGGTACAACTATGTTGTGTAAATTGTTGATGACATAATAATCTGCACATTTAATCTTTATTTTAATTAAATACGAAGCTTCCTATCCCAATCACCCCTCTTCAGTTTCAAAGGCTCCCTAAACCTCATTTGCCCAGTGGAATCTTTTAGGAGCCGGGGGGGGGGGCTGGAGATCAGTGCAGGACTGTCAACGGTGATCCCTATTTGCTGTTGGATCTAGAGCAAAGATTGTCTGATTTTAAAGACACCCCAACCAAGGATCCCAAAAACTTCCCCAGGGTGAAAATGATCCCAAGGGAGCCTTAAAACTCAGAGAAGGGAATGCAAAGTTTTAAACTTAACTAAAATAAAGATTAATGCCACTGAGTGATGACATTATTACTACAGTGGTGCCTCACTTAGCGATGTTAATCTGTACAGAAAAAATCGCTGCTAAGCGATAACATCGCTAAGCAAAAATAAAAAGCCCATAGAAATGCATTAAAACGCGATTAATGCGTTCCTATGGGCTAAAAACTCACCTTTAAGCAAAAATCCTCCATAGCGCTGTCATTTTTGGTGCATCTAAAGTGAGGTATCCGTGACTGAAAACAGCGGGCGGCCATTTTGTTTACCCAGCCGCCATTTTGAAACCGCCTATCAGCTGTCTGAAAATGAGGGCTTTGCGATGATCGCAGGGAAGCGATCATCACAAAGCGTATTTGCCCCATAGGGACCATCGCAAAGCAATCGCTTTTGCAGTGGCAAAAATCCATCGCAAAGCGATTTCGTCACTATACGGAGCGATCACTATGCGAGGCACCACTGTATTTATGAACTTAGTTGTGCCAACTGGATTTCATCATTTATAAGTTTGATAGGTTGTAATTTTCGCCTGAACTGCATATGAAAACATGTTATGCATTTTTTTGCATTAACTCATTTACTTGATTTATCTTGATTAAGCATTTAATAACAAGTGTTACTGGCATTTGTTTACTCTAGTTGAGGGCAACTTTTTAGATTTGGAAACACAGCACATACATTGGTAAGCTATATTAGCTAATGTAACGGAATACACCTTTGTCCCTCCTTGCAGGAGAAGAATTGCTGAAAAGGGGACTTCAGAACCAGAACAGAAAGAAGAAAAAAATGTAAGTTACCAAATGAGTCTGGCATAAAAGTGGTATAATTCTATGACCAAACTACTATAATGATTGACTTTACTATTTCCTCTAAAGGAAAAACCACTTCAGTGTTTTAAATTTGACAGATAACCTTGAAATGTTTTGTCTGTACTCTTGTTTCTTCCAGGAATGTTTTGCCTGCCTGACCATTTACTATCTCAGGTTATAAATTTGTCACTCTGTTAGCAGTGTACATATCTCCAGTCTTTAGGCAAAACCAAAAACCACAAGTAGCAAACTTACATAAAATTCAATAACTAAAAGCACATAAATTATGTTGAACAAAATGTTCACCAGTGGAGGTTACAAAGCCTGGAAAACAAGATCTGTTGCCTCCAATATGATGGTCCAGCTAACCACATGACTTGTATAATGGCAGCTGTGTTAACTCATTTGCTCAATCATGGTAAGCAGCCCATAGAAGAAATACAAAGCAGCTGGTGGGTAAGATGCACTAGATAGAATTTAGTGATACAGTGTATATGGACAGCTTTATATTGAGGCACTGTATACTACAGATAATGTAGGTGCTTCATCAGGATTGACAAAAGAGTGTTTTCATCTTGTTGCAAACTGAGGATCTGTATGACCTGATAGTTGTACACTTGCAATGTAGTATTTGCATTTTAATGTGCTTAATAAAAGTTTAGTTTTGCAGTAAATAGACTCCATTATTGATAATAGTGTATTTAAATTATATAGAAAGGCTATTGAACTGGTGTGCTGTTATATAGACAATACATTGGCATTTTCATCATAATACAAAATGAATAAATATGTTTCAGATACTGAACATTGGGGCAGTAAATACAAGAGGTTCCTAATGTAGATGTCTGAATAAATAAGGATGTGCACTAGCACCAAAATCAGATTACACTGAAATATTTCATTTCTGTTTTCTTGGGTTTGTCTGGTTCTGTTTATTAAACTATAATTTTCACGAGAACTGCAAAATAACTGCATTTTCAATCACATTTGAATAGGAAGAACCAGAGCCTTCAGCATCCAAGCCTCCTTCAACAAACACACCTGGTAAGTTCTGTATAAATTGTGAAGCTTGACATGCTCATAATTGACATAAAATTCTATGTTTGGCATCCTAATATAAAGTGCAGTTGTGGCAACTACCGTATTTTTCCATGTATAAAACAATACTTTTCCCTTAAATAATTAGACAAAAAAATTGAGGGTTGTTTTATACATGGAAGGCAGCCACTTTTCCCTGCCTTTTGCGAAGCGATGAGGCTTAGCAAAAAGGAAGGGAAGGCTCTCTTCAGGTAAAGCAACGGGACTATACTTTACCCAAAGTAAAGCCCCGTAGGGCTTAAGAATTGGGTAAAGCAACCATGAAAGGGCTTCAGGATCAAAGGGCTGCGATTGTGCAGCCCTTTCATCGCTGCTTTACCTGAAGGGAGCCTTCCCTTCCTTTTTGCTAAGCCCCATGGCTTTGCAAAAGGAAGGGAAAAGCAGGGATCAAATTTTCTAATTTGGGGTTAGGAAAGGGGGAGTCGTCTTATACATTGGGTCATCTTATAAATGGAAAAATACGGTCATTCAGTTTTTTACAATCTAAACTTCATTTTAAAAGAATAAATACATTTCTTGAAATATCCTAACCCTGTGACTTGAATTGGCTGTGACTACTCTGGAAAGACATTCAGGACACAATGGTCTGCCAATAAAAATATTTGCTTAATATATTGTTCAGTGTAGTTAAATTCAGTTAAAACCCAGTAGAAGTTTATTAGCAAATAAATGGAATGTAAAATGCTAAGTATTTCAGTAAAAATGTTTGGATTTGTGGAATAACTATATTGAAAGTACTTATACTCTTCTAGCTACTTTTCCCAGATCTGGAGTCACTCAAGAAAAATATCTTAATGATCAGGATATTACTAGTCACTGTTACCTTCTGTTTCAGAGGAGATATGTCTGAATACTGGTTTCTGGGATATATGAGTGAGAGAATGTTGGGGTTTTTTCACCCTTTGGTACTTCCCATAGTCACTTCATTGTTTACTATATGCATGCATGAATACATTTCTGTATTTATTTCATTTTTATGCTGTCTTTCTCCTGGCAAAGGGACTGAAAACAGCTCACAAATTGTTTAGAAACAAGCCAACTAAAACACAATAAATTATATTGAAATCATATTAAAACAATTTGTTTGAAACACTTTAAAACATTTTAAAACACACAAAAATAATATTAGTGACTATAATATGTAACATTCCAAAATCAAAAACTCTTCATTGACCAATTCAGTTATTAAAAGCCTGTCTAAAAAGGAAGGCCTTCACCTGTCTCCAGAAAAACAGGAGGGAGAGGACCAACGTAGGCTCATGAGGGGAGGCATTCCACAATCTGGAATCGTCCCCTAGGAGGGCCTTCCCTCATGTCCTCACTAAAGGTTCCTATTAGGTTGGCGTGGACCACAAGAAGAGCCTCCTCTAAGATCTTAAGAGCCAGGGAGTCTTCTACAGGGAGTGTAGTGCATTGTAAAGGTAAAGGTAAAGGTTCCCCTTGACAATTTTTGTCCAGTCGTGTCCAACTCTAGGGGGCGGTGCTCATCCCGCTCTGCAAGCCATAGAGCCAGCGTTTGTCCGAAGACAATCTTTCCGTGGTCACATGGCCAGTGTGATTTAGACACGGAACGCTGTTTACCTTCCCACCGAGGTGGTCCCTATTTATCTACTCGCATTTGCATGCTTTCGAACCGCTAGGTTGGCGGGAGCTGGGACAGGCGACGGGTGCTCATTCCGTCGCGTGGATTCGAACTTACAACTGCTGGTCTTCTGACCCTGCAGCACAGGCTTCTGCGGTTTAGCCCACAGCGCCACCTCGTCCCTGGTGCATTGTATGTCACTCTTAATATCCAGTGCTTTTGTATCTTGCAGAACTGACAAGAAAGCCTTGGGAAAGAACAAATACAGTGAATGGAAGCAAGTCACCTGTTATCTCAAGGTACTTTCCTCATTTGTAATGAACAGACTGTATTCTCCAGATTTAACTAGAATGTAAGAATATAAAGACTTTTATATGTAAAAGTCAGTTCTGCTTCTTGTTTTATGGATTTACATAAAGATATGCATTAGATGAATTTCTGACAGGCAAGGAGTAACATTCCTTTTTGCCTTTCCATGATTTTTGCTCTCTTCATATTATTTTGGGGTATTGTAAGATCTTTCAGTGAGATATAAAAAGTCCCAGAAAGAAAAAAAAGAAACTGCTTTTTGTTTTCCTTGTAGTTTGGCATTGAAAACTTGGGTATTTGGTAGCAGAAAAACCTTTTGCATTTTGATTCAAATGTTTTAGATTTTTTTATTTTTAATTTTTTTGGCAACTTGCTCTATGGTCCATGGGGTCACGAAGAGTCAGACACGACTAAATGACTAAACAACAACAAATTGTGATTAGAAAGAAATGTTATGTATATTACTGTTTTCAAGAACAAAGGCCAGAATCCTAGTGAGAGTTTATGCATGCGTAAGTCAAATTGCATAAGTTGTGGTAGGGAATTGCTGTTAATTAAAAAGGTACAGGTCATGTTCCTGGTTGCAAAGATTCAGAAGGAAGGTTTTCTGTGTGAAGAGGATGGAGAAATTTTAATAGGCAGGTAGATAGATCAGCTTAACACTGACTTTGCCTCCATCTTCTTCCAAAAGGAAAACAATGAGCCTAATGCAAATAGGATAAAAGGAGAAGGGACAGGGCACCTGCTCAATATAGAGAGCAATATGGGGACATCTAGAGACTTTAAATGAATTTGGTTCTCCTGGGTCACAGGGTTCTGGCCAGCTCTATTAATTCTATGATTCTATGAAGTCACCAGTAACATTCTGGCCATAGAGAGGATGTACGTACATCAAATTTGCAAATGAGACCATAGAGGTAGCTAATCCATGAAAAGACAGAATCAGGATTCAAAATGACCATCACAGATTGGACAGCAGGCCCAACAAAGAAAATGAGTTTTGAAAGGGGAAAAATGTAGACTACATTTAGGCAAGAAACATCAGAGACACAAATACATATAGTACTGTATATGGGAAAAAGATCTAGAAGTTGTAGTAGATCACAAGCTAAACATTAGTCAGTAGATATGGCAACAAAAATAGGCTGCATCAACAGAAATAAACCTGATCAATGGAACTAAAAGGTTGACTACATAGATGTTTAGCCCACTGTCTGATTCATTAGAGCAACAAGCTGGTTCACTCTTAAAGATGGCAATCAGATGACACCTTTTTTGGGGCAAATCACCCTGCCCCCATAGCAGTCCTAGCCATCATACCTTTCCAAGCCACTGTCAGGGGCTTCTGCTTTTTTGTGCTGATAGAATCGCTCTGGTCTGAATCAGTTCCAGTCCTTGTGATCATTAGGACCGATCCAAAGAAAGCCTTCTGGTTTGAATCTGCCAATATAATGAAATGGCTTAATAAGTGAGCTCCTTCAGCATATTGGCAAATAAATCATCTTCTCTGCTCCTCAGCAGAAGGGCAGGGGAACTGAATAGTTTTATTGAATAATAGACTATTTCTGATTTATTTATATATATATATATATATATCTCACCTCTTCTTAAAGGGCTGGATGAGAAACTGCCCACAGTCAAATCACAGCAAATGACTTTGACTGTAGGCAGTTTCTCAGCCAGCCCTTTAAGAGAAGATAAAGAAAAGATTTCTTAGTTTTCTTTTTTTTATAACTGATGCAACACATCAATACGCAGTCTGAAAATTCCCCCCCTTCCTCTACCCTTCTGCCAAGGAGCAGAGGAAGTGATTAGTTTAACAATATCCTAAAGTAGCTTGCTTATTAAGCCACTTCACCAATATTGGCAGAAGTGATTTCTGTGTGAATGGGAGAGCTTGATTAGATCGCTATAATCAAGCCTGACCATTCCATTTTTGACCCACATTAGCTCACTCCTTGCCACTAATGTAGCTACATCCTCATATCTATTCTGCTTTGGTCAGACCTTATCTAAAATATTCAGTTCTGGCAACACAGTTTAAAAAGGGTTTTGACAAGTTGGGAAGTGTTCAGAAGAGGACAGCTAGAGCTGGTAAAAGGTCTGAAAAATTAGTCTTGTGAAGAATGATTGGAAAAGTTTGATATATGCAACCTGAAGAAAAGACTGAGAGACAATATGGTCACCATCTTCAAATAGTTTAATAGAAGATGGAGAGAGCTTGTTTTCATTCCTGAGGACTGGACATGAAATAATTGAAATTATAAAAAATGAAATAATTCAAATTCTAAACATTATAAATACTTTTTTGACATTAAGTGCTGTTCAGCAGTTGTGTGGACTGCCCTGGAGGCAGGTGGACTCTTCTTTCTTTCAAATATTTTTACCCCACCTTTCTCCTCAAAAGGCCTCTCTGTTCGAAGGGTTCAAACAGATCTTAGATTGCTCCTTGTCAGGGATGCATTCATTGAGTATTTCCTGCTTTGGTATAGAATTGGACTCCGTGACTCTTGGGGTCCCTTCCAGCTCTATAATTATGTGAGTCTATGAGATAGCCAGTAGGATTCTGGCCATAGTAGTTACTGTTTTGCTAATATCATTCATTCAAGTAAACCAATTTGATCTGTAGATACTGTATATATAGTATGAATTATGGCAAGTTCAGCTAAATATCCAAATATATCCTATCTTTTTGACCATTCAGCCCAGTGGACCTGCATGCCATTCTTTTGAATACAATCATGGCAATGAGGATGAGGACGAAAATATGATCCATTTACCCTTTTAGGCTCTTGATTTCCCCCAGGGCATCAGCATTTAGAGTTAAGTCTGCTGTTTGAGTGTGAAGAAATAAAATGGCAGTAAAACATGGCTCAATTCATGTTGCTCTTTTTTAAACCATAAACATTCCTATTTCGTGGGGGACACCAGATTCTCATTCTTTTCATGGGGGGCTGATGCCTGTGCCTCAGAGTACCATAGGTGGGGGGCTGTGCTGCTTGCCCCAAGCGGTAAAATTGCTGGTTACAGTTCTGCTCCTGTTCCTTTTTAGCCATGTTTATTTATATTACTGTATTTATTTTATTTCAAATATTTATCCCCAAAACCTTGAGAAACTATGGCCAAAAATCTGTTATGCCCATAAGCATGCTATCATCAGTGTAACCTGTTAGTGAATTGCTGAAAGTTAAGAAATCAGTGTAGGTATTTCCTACTGTGCAGCAGTCATGGGATTCAATGTGTTGAAAGAAATTCCTACAGTACATTGATTTCAGTACTAGAAATCATTATACATAGACCGACACATAACCCAGTTTTGCCTTCTTCTGTTTTATCTCTGTGCTGTTAAAACATGGTTACGTTGTTACACTTCACACATTATATATGGCTGTGTTCTGGATATACATTAGGATGGCCACCATATTACTACTTGAATAGACTTACTAAAATACTGGTTGAAATCCTGTTGCTTAGTGTAGTAGATTGCTCTAGAGTAGGCCCACTGAATCAGCATTGTTTTGGTGATACAACTCCTCTGTGCATTCCATTGAGTCAAATGGACTTACTCTGGTTGTGATTTACTGTGCTAAAATATGTCACAACTAGAATAGGCCCATTTGAATCGATGGAATTTACAGAGGCATTGTTTGGTTGATTTGTTTTTTACTGCCCTGTTAAGGCATAGTTGTTTTGAAAAGTCAAATCTTGATGGGAAATGCTTGGTAGCATCATTGTCTTGAAAGACCCATGTCCGCTTGCTCTTTATAGACCAAAATCTGCATCTTCTGGGCAGCCCAGTACTAATGGAGTACAGTCAGAAGGGGTAGATTATGACAGATTAAAACAAGTAAGTATTTTCTGCTGGAACTTCAAGTCCTAGTTGTGATATTTGTTAATGTTGTATGACTGTTTTTGGTGGACAACACAATTTATTTCTCCAGCTCATTCTTCCATATATGGAGAACCTAAATCAGCACTGTACAAATGATATAAATCACATTTAGTGAGAGAGATCTGCCTGGCTCCGACACTCTTGGCCTTTCGGCGCCAGGCAAAGACCTTTCTGTTCACCCAGCATTTTAATTAATTAATTTTAATGTTTTAATTGTTTTAAGAAATATTTTAATATATGGTATTTTATACTGTTTCTTAAAATGTTTTTAATGTTTTTGGGTTTTGATGTTGTACGCTGCCCAGAAGCCACTGGCAATGGTGTGGCTAAAAAATATTGTAAATAAAATAAATAAATAAATAAATATATTAAATTCACAAGTATGTACCAAAAATGTGTTAACCAGATGTTGGACTGCCAACAAGTGATTAAACATGCTTCCAACAGAAGCATATTATGAAGAGTACCTTTTGTCAGCCACTCATGGACTGAAGCAGAGTTTTTGTTGGTTTGTATTTTTGTGGAAAAGAGAGTAGTCTTCTTGTGTTGTTACAGTCTACTGCATGAGATATAACAAAAATGAATATGTTTTAATATATTTTTCTTAAACCAGATTTCTGGCCATTTTTCAAATTATGCAGTTTTAATCATGCACTTTTTATAAAAATAAGAATAAGAATTTCATGGCATCAGATCTGCCCTAATTTATTGAAATCCTTTTCAGGGTTTTCTAGGTATAAAATTCTCGGAGGTACTGAGAAAGCCTGCTGGGGCTGCTTTGGGACCATCTAGTTTGTCCTAGGCCATATAGGTTTACTTACATATAATTCAAACTAGAAAAAAATAGAGTAAAATGTAATGCCTGCTGATTTCCTCTTCATGACAAGAATATAGAACGATACTACATGATTTTCTTAATGGTCCCAGAAGCTGTGAATTGGATAACAGTGTATTAAATATACCGTTAATGCAAACTAGTCTATTGAATACTTCATTTGGAGCATTGGCTAGTGTCATTAACAAGCAAGTGTGTTAATTTCTGTTTAGTTTTGACATGTTTTGAATTCTACTGGTTAAACTTTTCAACTTGTTTTTTTCTGCTGCTGTAGGATATTTTAGATGAAATGAGAAAGGAATTAACAAAGCTAAAAGAAGAATTAATTGATGGTGAGTATTTAAACTTACTGTATGGGGATGTAAAGCAGGCTAGTAATTGTTTATGTATTAATAATTGAGTAGAATAGGTATGTTCCAATTAGTAGAAATTGATTAGAAAACAACAGTCCTAGCTTCCTTTATATTCACTGCAATCTGTTCCTATTCTCTGTGCCTTAGTGCCCTTCTACTTTTTAGCTGTGGATTTCTATGGACTTTATCCATAGAACGGCAGGAGAGAAAGCTGAACACGTTCCATATGCGCTGCCTCCGACGTATTTTTGGTATCACCTGGCAGGACAAAGTTCCAAATAGAATAGTCCTAGATCGAGCTGGAATTTCTAACATATATACACTATTGAAACAGCGAAGCCTACGCTGGCTTGGGCATGTTGTGAGAATGGTTGATGGTCGGATTCCAAAGGATCTCCTGTATGGAGAACTAATGCAGGGAAATCGCCCCAGAGGGAGACCACAGCTGCGATACAAGGATATCTGCAAGCGGGATTTGAAGGCCTTGGAAATGGATCTCAACAGATGGGAAACCCTGACATCAGAGCGTTCAGCCTGGCGGCATGCGGTGCATCACGGCCTCTCCCAATTTGAAGAGACCCTCGCCCAGCAGGCTGAGGCAAAGAGGCAGTCACGAAAGCAGCAAAATCAGGGAGCTAGACGGGTTACAGATTGTATTTGTCCTAAGTGTGGAAGGGATTGTCACTCTCGAATTGGCCTCCTCAGCCACACTAGACGCTGTTCCAAGTCCTCCATACAGAGCACGATACCATAGTCTCTCAAGACTGAAGGATGCCTATGATGATGATGATATCCAACTTCCATTTCTATTTTTTATTTATGATCCTGTCTTGCAATTAACAGCAAATAACTTCCTGTCTCAATGTTATCTGTAAAATGGCAAAATAAATACAGTGGTGCCTCGCACAGCAAGGTTAATCCATTCCGGATTAACTCTCACTGTGTGAAACATCGCTGTACGGAAAGAAAAAAGCCATTGGAATGCATTAAGCTTAGTTTCATGCGTTCCAGTTGGCTGATTTACTCACCGTACAGCGATGTCCCTCTATGGCCGGCAGCTATTTTCGCGCCCTCCCCTCGCTGAATGAGGGCGCGAAAATGGCTGCGATCAGCTGTCCGGTGGGTCCAAAATGGCCGCCGGAACAGCCGAAATGGCCGGCCGCAGTGTTTTCGCGCCCTTGGTAAGCGAGGGGAGGGCGCGAAAACGCTGCACGCAGCCATTTTGGCTGTTCCGGCAGCCATTTTGAAGCCGCAGAACAGCTGATCGGCGGGTCACAAAGCGAAGGTCGGTAAGCGAACCGCTTACCGACCTTTGCTCTGCGATTTTCGCCCATTGGAGGCATCGCTCTGCGATCGCATTAGCGATCGCAAAAGCGTCACTGTAGAGCGAATTCATCGCTCTACGGGGCGCTCGTTCTGCGAGGCACCACTGTATTGTAAATGTTAACAATATTGCGCATTATCAGTGGTGCCCAACCTTGGGTAACCCAGATGTCCTTGAACTGCAGTTTTTAGAAGCCTTCACCACCAGCTTTGCTGGCCAGGATTTCTGGGAGTTAAGAGTCCAGAAACATCTGGGTTACCCATGATTTTATATTGGAAGCCGCCTAGGGTGGACCGTTGGTCCAGATAGGCGGGATAAAAATCAAATAAATAAATTATTTATTTAGCCTTTCCTGATACCGATTTGTATGGTTGAGAATCCCATATTAATATTTCATAGGACCCTTCCCTCTTTTGCAATGATATTACAACATTTTTCTTCCATTATTCTGCTCTTTTAGTGCTCAGTAGGACTTTTTATTTCTTTTTATAGTCCTAGCCATGTTTCTGTTTCCTCCCACCACACCTTCATGCCTCTAACTTGCCATTTTCCTTGGTCCTGATTCTTAGATGTTGTATACTATCTGTAATGGCTTTTCATCTTTTGAGTGTACAATGAAAAAAATAATATTTAACAAAGTCATTAAAACATATAGTGCCCTTCATCCAGAATTTCAAAACAGATATTCCATGACTTGGGATACTTCCAGTTCAAGTTTCTTCAAAATTGTGATTGAAGTGATTTCTGCACTATAATGCTGTAATATACTGGATGCTAGTTAATACACATTGCTTTGAAAAAACTTGTCTCAAAACAAGTTTTGTTCTTCAGTATGGCAGTTTGTTGTCGTTGTTTCATCTCTTGTATACTGCCCCATAGTGCTAGAGCACTCTCTTGGCAGTTTACAAGATAATAATGCAAACGAAACCTAACACCTTTTTTCCTTATTAAAACAGCAATCCGGCAAGAACTGGGCAAGTCAAATACAGCATAGAGAAATTAGAACTAAGCTATCATGACCACCAGTTTTGGCACAAAACCAACTACATTTTGTGAGCCGTTAGAAGAAAATGGAAAAATACACTAGGAAGAAGAAGAAAGAGCGACATTCTGAAAACGTTCAGACATCACTATGGTGATACTCTTTCCCTTTGCTGCTGTTTTCTGACTTTCAACAGGGTGGAAAATAGTCTTAAATTGCGATAATGATTTATGCAGAAAATCATATACCAGTCGGACAAGATCACAGTACACTGAAATGTTTTCATATCAAGATGAAGCTGCACATGCACAGTTTATTAAGACAAAAAAGAGAAGAAAAGCTTGGGGAGGCTTTTAAGAGAGGCTTTCTTAAAGAAGGATTTAGCAAGTTATGCTGTACAAATGTATCTCAGGTTAGTCTTCCTATCATGTTGAATATTTCTGTGAATTAAAGATCAAACATGACTTCGCTTCACAAACTAGAACAGATAGGAGAGTGTGTTGTGAAACACAGTATTGGTGAATGAGAGATCTAGGATGTGTGTTTTGTAATCTTATGATAGGAAGCCTCTCTAGTTAGCCTTCGTACTGTTTTGTAGAGAAAAATGCAAATGCTGTCCAGAACATAAAGATGTAGATGCCTTCCTAAAATGTTATGCTTTACCAAATTCAAGGATTCTCCAGAATACAAATCAGTGGTCAAATGTAAATTGTTAGATTGTTAGACACTTACCATAGATTTTTGAGCTTTTAAGATTTATGCATGTAGACTTTTTTGTAATATAACACAACCACAGAGTTGGCTTTTTAATTTAAAACATCCTTGCATGCCACAAATAATAAGTAGCCTTTTTACAGTAAGGCCTAGATAATGCCCAGGCAACTTGGAAGGTTGGGACAGGGGGTGACTTTTTTATTTAAAAAGTTTGTATTAATTGCTGCACTATTTTTCCTTATATTGCATGCATGTGTAATAATAAGGAAAATGTTGTGACTTATCAGTAACCATGTTAAATAGAACCAAGTACTTAATATTTTTGTATCATTACATTCGTATTTCAAATTTAATAATGCTTCAGTAATAGCATTATCAATTGGTTCTGTTCTTTTCTTAACTTGATATAAATTAAGCATCATGATTATCCGTAGATACGATTTTTAAAAGAGGCATATAAAAGTAATAGAATACTTCTCATAATAGTTCCTTGCACCATGAATTGAGGCAAGTTCTTTAAACCTGTTTAATTGAAGGTTGGGGAGATGTTGATGTTAATCAGTGCAAATATTGTGCTCTCAATCCTTTAATCTAGAAGCAGACAAATTGTGGTGTTCTCTAAGTTGTTGGACTGTAGCACTCATCAGCAATAGCCAGCATAGCCAGTAAGTATGACAAGAGCTCCCACATCTGGAAGGCCACATGTTTCCCACCAGGTTAAGTGATTGATAAAAGCCATGAGATCATGGGCTGTTGTATCCTCATCCTCTCCCCAGGAAAAATTCTTCTTGCCTTTTTCTCACCTCCTGAATAGTGATTACATTACTGCTAGCTTCAGCCTTAGTAAGCTTCTATTTTTATGAGGATTTGAAAGCAGTTAGTGCCAATGCAGTCTTTAACAGTGGCTAAAGCTGGTATGGTATGTTAAAACATATCAGTCGAGGGCTCAAGATGGAAGATGATGCACACTACAGCTTGCTCCTGCTTTGAACCTACAGTATATAATTAGCGGTCAAATACACACGGAATCACAATGCAGGGAAAGTCTTAAGAACAATGGTGGCAAAGGTATATTTTTAAGGACTTCATCTACTTGGCTTCATCTCTGATCCAGCATTTGAATATTTACATAAATTCCTGTGCAGACTTTCAAAAAGTAAGCCTGAGTAGGAGAAAGGAAGAGAATCTTCTTTCAATTGAATTTATGATTTGACAAATAATGTGCAACTGAATCTTAACCTGTCCTTTACAACCTAAATTCTCCATTCTATATTAGTGCCATACATATTTTGCAATTTAAACTGATTTTAAAATAACATGTTTGGCATAATTACTATTTTTTAATTACCTAGTTTCATGCAGTTTAGTTAATAAAGAGCTTTAATTAGCACATCCTCCCAAGTGTTGTACACCAAAGCAAACTAACAACTATTATTGCTGCCTATATGCTTGAATGAGGAAATTGTCACTTCCCCTGTTTTTGCAAGATACGGCTTATAAAGTGTAACCCCGAGTCAGTGCTTAATTTTAAAATGTTCTCTCTGCATGCATTAGCTGAAGGCATTTAAATCTCAAGGCAAATAATGTTGCTCCAAAATTAAGTGGAAGCATTTTCATCTTTTAAAACTAAATTCTTTAAAACATGTGATACTAAATACTTATTCTTGTCAGAAATCATGTTTGATTTTGTTTGTAAAGAAAATTCAGAGATTGTCTAGCAGAATGTTATAAGTGGTCCAAAGGTAAGAAAATTAAGTTACTGATTGTGAACGAAACTGGTTAATGCACTAAACATTTTGTGCCTTGGTCTAAAGTTAACATGATTTCTGTGTAAAAGGAAAAAGAATCAAAAGTTCTTTAATTCTTTCTACATGCATAGTTGCATAACCCTGAATTGGACTGTTTGGAAAATCTACTTTTAGTTAAACTGTAAATTAAGGCTGTTGTACTGACAGCAACACCATTGTCAGACGTTCTTGTAATCAAAATTAGCTACCGGTTAATAGGTTATTTTAATTACTGTTCTTTTAAAATGTTATGATGGTTCCTGTCTTTTGTACAGCGGATGCCTTAAGCTGAATATGGTTTAGGGGATCACTTTTAATTCAAGGAAGGTACTGCTTTCCTCAACACTGTGATCTGATCTGTGATAAATCTGTCCTATCCATACACAAGTGGCTAACAAGTCAATTGCATAAAAACTGAATGTACAAATCTTAGTGCTGGTGCTGAAATCTCTTCAGAGTTGTCATGCAACATTGTTCAAAAGGTTTTGCAAGCATCAAGTGTCAATCAAAACTGAAGATGAAACACTAATGAATGTTGAATTTTCATGCATTTAGTTTTACCTCCTTTTGAGTTTTTCAGTTAATTCTTTGCTATTTTTACCATACTGTGTCATTTTAAAATTTCTTAAATGCTAACTTTGTTTTGTTTGAGCAGATGAAATAAAATTGCAATATATACATGCTGCTGCTATTGTTTTTACAACTTGATGTCATATTGGGGGAAAAATATTACTTTTAGTGTAATATCAATAAAGCAAGCTGCAACCTTTTGTTTGCAAGACCTGAGCAGAATTGTTCATAATAGGACCTTTTCAAATTTATTAATAGCATTGCCATGTCAGAAATGACTTACGGCACAAAACAATAATTTGTTTCTATTGCTCTTCTAGATTTATAGCATTCTGAAAGTTCTGCCTCCACAAAGAATATAACAGAAAGTGCTCAACTACAATATTGATGCCTAATCCAGTAAATTGTTAGAATTTTTTAAAGTTGCTTTTCAGCTTTGAATCTCTTTACCCATTTCCCCAGTGTTTTAGAAAGTACTGTATATACAGATTATACAAGCCATCAAAAATTATATCTTTTGCTGAAATCCTAGTTTGTATAATTTACTTTGTTCCAATCTGATCAGTGAGTTTCTCTTAATACGTTATGTTCCCCCATCCTCTCTTTCCATTGCTGCCATCTTGTGTTGAATAAAAAACAAAGGTGGAAATAGTGTTGTGCAGTAACACAAAGGGCATAACTTTTGGAAGCAAATTGCTCTCAGTTAAGAAATCTCAGTAGACATTATCTGTTGCATACTGACTTGCATAACTTAGTATGTGATAACAACTATAGAGATTTCGGAACATAACAATTCACTCCCAAAACTTGCACCATTTGTAGGACTGTGCAACAGGATTCCAGCTAGACTGTTGTTTACACTGTTTGCTTTGTTACACTTCACTGTTGTCAAAATAGATCTGGAAACAGGCTTCTAATGTAATTGTTTCTCACATATTAGGTAATACTTTTTACATAATTTGAGAGAATAGATTCTTAATTTAAAAACCCATATATACTTAATTTAGAAATTTAATTTAGAAATATAACATCAGTCATTAATTAGGTCAAACAGACTCTGAATTACAGACTCAATGAATGCAGTGTAACTTGTAATCACCTTTGTACAAGTAGAGGGCATAAGAGAATCTCAACAGATTAATATCAAGCAGGTAAGTTACAGATGTGTGCTGAAAATATGTGGGAATAGTGAAATAGTAGATCTCTGACAGATGTGTTATAAACAGTTAATTAAACTGAGTGGTAGAATATACCAGATAGGCGGGATATTAAATAAATAAATAAATAAATAAATAAATAAACCATAAGACTTTATGCTCTTCGGAAAACAGCATTTGGTAACCTATGTGTAAGGACCCTCTGCTGGCAGAAGTTGGACTTTTACCTGTTTGGGCATTCAGTTTTATTGCTTTAATAATAGTTATTAATATTTTAAAAATATTTTTAAGCTTCCAAGGAAAGAAATCATTATGGGTAACCACAAAGAGGCATTCTCCTTGTACCAAACAGTAGCCTAACATCTCGTTTGAGATCATTCTTACTTGATTAAACAGATTGTCCCTGTTATGATGCAGTTGGAATCGTTGGCAATTTCCAGCAAAAATATGCTGGTCCACACAACTCTGCAGTTGTGATACTTTGGGCAAACCTTTTGCTTGGTCTGTGCTTGCTAGTTTTTTCCATTGAAAGTGTTTCAAAAGTTTCCCTACAGTTTCTTTGTGCAGTATGACATTTACAAAGGTGATAGCATAGTTATTTGATGGCTGGTATACAAAGTAAATATCGTTGGCTTTTGTCATTCAAAACAGGAGCAAATGCCTCTTGATGCAATCAACCACTTTTATGTATTCTTCACAACAGTAGTGGACTTGTTAATTTTTACACATCCCAGCTCTGCTTTGAATTGGAGATATGAAGGTAGGACAGTCAAAATGTAATGAAAAAATGTTAAAATCACAGAAGATCACTGTTGTAGAGAAGATGGAATTTTGCCTCTGGATAGGGACATTCCTTGGGTTTGAGGCCAAGCACAAGAGTTGGGTGTGGATTGGATTGTAAGTGCTTTAGTGACCCACTCACTTTTTTCCCTTCCCTCTATCAACATTTGAAGAGCTAATGCAGTAACTGCAGTAACTACCCTAGTAACTGGGTAGACAGAAGACTCTGAGAACAGAGAATCTCTTAATTCTTGACAGACAGGGCAGCTGGAACAAAGGGTACTGTCTTCAACATTGTTGCTTTAGGTGCAGTTGCGCTGCCTCCTTTTTTGAGGGGGAGCTACAAAGTGAGTATAGTATGATCATACTTATAGACCTGTAGTTCTTGGCATGGATTTGAACTTCTGGCACTAGCATCACACAAACAGAAATTGAAAATTCTATTGGTTTGTGCTGTTTCTAACTGTCCAGTGTACTTTATGAAGTAGTAGAAAACAAATTAGTCTTCGTTCTACTACAAAGAAAGAAAGAAAAGAGGAGGAAAAGCCACCTTAGCTTTTCATAAAATCTGACATGGCAAAAGCAAACAATGCACTGTATAGTGATGCATGACAGTAGGCCTTCTCAGACTAAGATAATTCTTTTCTAGGCATATAACTTCAGATATACAAAAAAAAGACATTTAAACGTTTTTAATCTCTCATCCAGCAAATGTGCCAATAGCTGAATGCTGTGCTCACAGCTGATGGTGACCACAGTGAGTCTTTTAAGGAATACTACATATAGTCATGACAAAAGTTTGACATAAACTCCTTAGGTCCATAGTGTCCTTGTACTGCAGAGCAGGCAAAAATATGAAAACAACGTTGTGTTCTTAAATTGGACTCAGATCTGTTGGTACTTCTTAACATTCCTGTATTAACTGATCAACCCCTGTTTTATGATGTATATGTATTCATTTAACAGTAATAATTTGTTGCCACTTTCATGAAGACAATGGTGCTCTCAGTGCTAGGTTCTGCATTTGTATAAACCCCATCTAAACTACAGCTACAGTTACAATCTAATGATTCACAGTCCATCTGTAGATTGCAACAATTAAAGTCTACACCTGCATGCATTTTCCTGTGGCAGCAACTGTGGTCTATCATAAACCTGTCTTAAAGTTACAAACCACTATTACAGAATGCTAACTTTATCCAACAAGGGGAAAGAGTTTAGTATATCTGTAAATAATTTTTATACTGATAGGTACCTAATTACTACTTAGATTTTATAAAATATGGTATATTAGTACACATAAGCTTAATTTTGTAAAAAAAAAAACAGTTTCAGGTTGCATTGCTGCATTTTAGTTGTGTGTGTGAAGTGTACAGGAAATAGGTTACTTCACTATTCATGTAAATTATCCATGAATGATTTAAGTTGTGCTTTAATAGAAATTAAATTCCAGTAGTAACATTATCTGGAACAAGTCTTTTGCCAAAGTTACAATGACAGAATCACAATAGGGGAGGAAAAAGTACACATGCAGAGTATGTTCTCTTTAAAATAAAAGTGCCTTAAACTTATTTAGACTGTATACAATGCATGCTAATTGACTGTAATCACTTTGAAATCTAATGTGCATAGTATAAATATGTAAGTCTGCATAAATAGTTAATCACTGAAACCAGACTGCTTTTTTCTGTGTTCATTCCTTCCATCATGTTCAAGTTTTTTCCTTCGCTCGTTTTCTAGATAGTTTCTTACTGTGCCTCTTGGTATCAAGTTTCCTTATAGAATAAAAGCAAATATACACAAAAAGTGAAAGTTGTATTATTAAACTCCAGGCACAGTCAAAATTATAAAAACATTGACTGGTATTATATAACAGATACTGTACAAGTTTTAGCCAAAACCTATCCAGAATTACTTAAATGGATGTTTTCCTCTGTGATCACTTAATTCATTTTTGTGAAGATGTGGGGACATGTCTGTGGGTGGTTTTTTTTGTGACGTAGGGAGTTGGGGAATGATGGTCATGACTGTGGGGACACCCATCTCCATGTTCTTTCTCCCTGATGATCTTCCTACATTTAAAAAAAATTACACATATGAGATTAGCACTAGATAGCCATATCACTATATTACTAGTACTAATATACTTCTTTAATGCTAAGTCACCTCTGGACAATGATTTTTTTTGAAATTATGAACAAAACAGAAACAACTCAGAAGAAATAAAGTAAATTTCTGTGATAATGTGATGTTTCTGTACATGTTAAGGAAAATTTTGGAATGCTGACACCTCTTCCAGAACACTGTACCACTTTTTCAAAACCAAATGGCTTAATAGCAGACCATGAAAGGATTGGCAGAAGCAGGACCAGAGGAAGGAAAGAAAGGGGAGAGTAGATGAAATGCAAATCACATCTGAGTGTGAACACTGAACTCACTAATCCACTGAACTTGTGCGATCATTACTGCAAATTTAGCCACAATACAGACGCCAAACCAAGTTGCAGTAAAGCTGCAATTTGCCATGTAATTGCAGCCTGAGGCAGTTACCTGAAGCAGCAAATTTTTGATGCCACAAAAGGCCTGCAAATCATTAATTATTAGCTTAATTATTGTGTTTTTACTGTTAGGAATGGGATTTTCTTGCCTTGTGCTAAAATAATTTAACTGGCCTTGATGTAAAGCACCTTGCTGGGGGACAGAGGAGATGTTTTCTTAGACAGAAAAAGTGTTGGATCAGTCCTGTTTTTGCCCTCTCAAGATAAATCCTGTCTTAGCACAGTTCTGTGTTGTTTGTTCCCTGTGCAACTCAGTATAAGATTCTGTGCCTGCACAGAGCTTTGCTTGGAACATTCTAGCAGAATATATTGGTAAAAAACAGCTCATCCCCACAATTGCTCATGGCATGTGGCTCCCATAATTCCTGCTCCTTTTTTTTTCAAACTCCTGCTGTTTTGCATTAGAGATTTTAGGCTCTTGTAAACTATTGAGCATTGCTTATTCTGTCTCCAAATGTTTCTTCTTCTTGCTGTATCTCAACTTTGGTTGAACATTAGCATCTTAATCTAAGCCAAAGATTGTCTTTTAAAGTCCACTTTTGTCTGTTTGTCTAGGAACAAATTAGATCTCTTTAGGCAATATATATCACAATCCCAGCACTCTAATCCTGACTTCCAATAGTTACAAGTTTTGTTCGTCTTCCATCTGATTCTCCACAGTTATCAGCCCTGTTTTACAAGAACCTGCGACAAGATGGAATCTGTTTTTCATGGTATGCATGATCCCTTATCATTAAGGAATCTATGAGTGAAGCAACCAGAATATGGACAAGGTTCTTTCTTGCATAGTCAGGATATTTGGAAGATGAGCCCATATTACCGAATGCATATTATGCAGTTGTTTATTGATCTGTATTTCCCAAGAGCATGAGATTATACCATGAGGAAGTATTATATGCTGGACTGAAGCTAAATATGAAGTGGGACTAGTGTTTTACCTTTAAAAGTTAAAAAACAGCAACGTAATAGATTCCCCACACCTTTAATGCCCAATGACCTGACTTCCTTTCAAATTAATATGTATTACTTATTTTATTTATAATATGTTTTACCCTGCCTTTCTTCTTTAAAATGATCCAAGGGCTAAGGACTGATGTTTTGTGCCCATTTCTTTCACACTATCCCAAAGTTTGCTGAATTTATTTTGTGCATTAGAAATCCTGAGGCATTAAACGAAAGCAAAAAACAGAAGAAACTGGAACATCCAGTGAAGGCCAATGTAAGGGAGAGATATTAAGATGTTAAAAATTCTAATTTTTGTACCCTCTGAAGAAGATCACAGAATAATTCATTGACCAATATGCATAATTTGGTGATGGATTTTGGCAAGATGTTTAATATCTTGAGACAGGTTTTGAGATAAAGTGTACATATTAGGTAAGATGCAGTCAGTTGCAGCCAGATTAATAGCATATACCCAGTACCTAGAGGAAGATGTAGTCCTCAGGTTGGTGTAAACTTTCTTGGGTGATGTTAAATGTCCTTGCTTGGTGAGAGATACTGCCCTTGTCTGCTATTTAGGGTCTTTTCCTTAGTACAAAAAGAAAAAGTTGTGTGGTCTTTGTACACAGTCGGAAAACAAGGATGGACAGTATTTTTATGAGACCACTAAAAGGTCAGAAACAGATATAGTTTTCAAACCCAGCAGAACATTTCATCATGCTGGGCATACAGAGCCAGGCGGGAGCATACAGATAAAAAGCAAAAGTCTCGCCAAAGCAAGTTTCAAAATATAGCCTGCAATATGAGTTAGTTCAGGAGAGCAGGTTTCAGGCATCAGGGCTGACAGAGTAGCGGTAGTACAGGTATACACCAGGGGGCGATAACCAAAAGAATCTTCCCTGAGATGATGAAGACTCCAAGCACCAGAGTAGTGTTGATAGCAGATATTGTATTATTTACAGAATATACAGGTATATATACAGCTAAGTCTTTGTTCTCAGTTCCAAAGTAATGCACAATAGTTTCCACAGAGTTTAGTGCATCTATCAGAGTCAATGTCCAGTAAATCAGTAGTCATATACCATACAGTGGGGTCTTGACTTGCAAACTTAATCCGTATTGGAAGGCGGTTCGCAAGTCAAAAGGTTCGCAGGTCAAATCTGCATTTCCCATAGGAATGCATTGGAAACCATTTGATCCATATCTGCTCTTTTCCATCCATAGAAACTAATGGGAAGCTGCTATTCCACCTTTGACCACTAGAGGGGGATTTTTTTTTCTTAGGTTCAGGGAAGGCAGGGAAAATACAGTCCAGACAGTACCAGGCAGTCTGTAGACTGTCTCCGTCCACTCTCTAAACGCTGGGAGGAGTGAGGAAGCAGACAGGCACCCTTTTCACTGCCCAACAGTTAACTGAAAATTCAAAATTTGCACTTTCCCTGCCTCCCACATGTTTTTTTTCCGTTCATAACTCAAATCTAAGTACAT